GGAGAGGGTTCAGAGAAGGGCCACTCGTATAGTTAAGGGCCTGCAGACCAAGCCCTACAATGAGAGACTAGAGAAACTGGACCTTTTCAGCCTCCGCAAGAGAAGGGTGAGAGGCGACCTTGTGGCTGCCTATAAGTTCATCACGGGGGCACAGAAGGGAATTGGTGAGTATTTATTCACCAAGGCGCCCCCGGGGGTTACAAGAAATAATGGCCACAAGCTAGCAGAGAGCAGATTTAGATTGGAAATTAGGAAGAACTTCTTCACAGTTCGAGTGGCCAAGGTCTGGAACGGGCTCCCAGGGAGGTGGTGCTCTCCCCTACCCTTGGGGGTCTTCAAAAGGAGGTTAGATAACCATCTAGCTGGGGTCATCTAGACCCAGCACACTTTCCTGCCTATGCAGGGGGTTGGACTCGATGATCTATTGAGGTCCCTTCCGATCCTAACATCTATGAATCTATGAAAATGGGCTATATATAGGATTACAGGAAAGTGGGGCTGGAAGGAACCTCATGAAATCATTGACTGCCTGAAGACATTAAAAAAACCCCAAAACTGGCATTCCTTTAAACTTTATGCACTTTCATGCAGAGCCCAGTGCATAAGTTGCTAGTTGGACCCAGCTCACACAACATCTGTATAGATTGGGTGCTTTAGTAGTGCTTTTTTTTCTGGCTCTTATCTAATTGATTCAGCTATTAGATAAAAGCACAACTCCCCCCCCCCCCCAAAAAAAAACAAAACAAAACAAAACAAAAAACAACAAAACCTCTACTGAAGCACCCAATCTATACAGATGCTGCAGAGCTGGGTTGAAGTAACGTGTTGCTGTTTCTGGTCCAGCCCCATACTTGGGGCAGGATAATTCCTGATTTAAACCATCCCAGTCAAGTGTCCTTCTAAACTGCTCTTGAAAATTTCCAGGAATAGAGATTCCACAACTACTCCAGATGCACAAGTCCTGTTGATTTATTATATTTTTACCTAGTTATTGGGCTTTCAATTAGATCAGTGATTCTAACCAGGGTATCACAGCACTCTGAGGTGCCTTGAGATCCTTTTAAGGGTGGGTGAAATGTTAGTGCTGTTAGGTGAGCAGACACAATGCTTAAGATAAATCCTGTAGCAAGGCTTTTGACACTAGCATCTCACAAACAAGCTAAGACAGTACAGGTTACAGTGGACAATAAACTGAATATGAGTCAATCATATGCCCTTGTTGCAAAGACAGCTAACAGCATTAGCTCTGCAACATCTGTATAGACTGGGTGCTTCAGTGGGGCTTGTTTTTGGTGCTTTTATCTAAAGCTGAGTCAATCAGCTATTAGATAAAACAGCCAAAAAAGCCCCACTAAAGTTATATCACATATGCCTTACATTTACATGCAAAGAAGCCTCATTACATGCATTATCTATCATTAAACTGTTGCTGGAAGTAGCATGTGTTCAGTAATGGAAATCAACTATAAAATTGATTAATTGCAGCCCATCACTATGCATGATGGGAACCTACCACTCTGTGGGGGGGGCGGGGAAATCAGTGCCAAATTCTATCAACTGAGCAGAGCTGAATCATTCAACTCTGTATGGCACTACCACCAGCAAGTATCCTACCTCCCAGACTCTTCAGCTTAGGACTTCAGACACTCCC